AATAGAAACTGAATATAATTACAGTATATAATGTGATTTCATAGGTGTGTACATTATGAAATAAATAGCACAGTCAGTGCAATTTGTACATTCAGCATTTCATTTATGTGCATTTTGAATATAAGTGTGTGTGTGCTGTGTTCCAACTTCTGATTCCGTCTTTCCCCATCGAAGGTTGAGGACTTTCATGTGTTATGTGGATACAGCTTTGCTTTGCTGGTGAGCTGAATCAATAACACGAATGCTATTTACCTGCCCATGGGCCCCATCTGCTCTGACTCATACATTACTTTCCTCATGATTGACATTCCCCAACAAAATGTTAAAGTCATTAGCATTTGTGAAACCACTTTGACACGTCATTATCATCCAGTGTATATATGTTTAAACAAAGTTCACTCTTAATATGCATTCTGATTTTTGGCTATTGTGTGATGGCAAGAATATGTACACAAATAACCAGGAGATACATTTGATTGCACTAACTTCTGCTTTGTTAATCCTTCTCATTCACTTAATTACAAGAAATCACCTATCTTTTACTATGTCCGTCGTTTTGCCTTTTTCAAAGTAACAAATGGGATTTCATAGCTAAATTTTTCAGACTGATGTCTTTCACTTAATAATATGCACTATTTTTCTTCATTATTTCATATCTGTATAGCTAATTTCTTTTCACTGCTGATTTATTCCACTTATTTTATATACAATTGGGGTATATCAGACTTATCTATTTATTAACCTACTTTTTATCTTGGTGTCTTCCATTTTGTCAACTATGAGAAATTTGATGCAAACATCTATACACAGAAGTTTTGTAGACATATGTTTTCAAGTTTTTTTGAATATAAATACCAAGGATTGTGATTTGCTGAATCATAAGATGGGTAATGTATAGTTTTCAAACAAACTGCCAAAACTATCATTCCATGTGGCTTTGCAAGACTTGCTTCTCAGGAGTAACACAAGATTGTCTTTTTTCTCCACCTCCCCACTGGCACTTGGCGTAAGAGGTGTTTTGGATTTGGCCATTTTATTTAGGAGTATAGTAGTATTTTGTCTTAATTTGCATGTCCCTGGTGATATATGGGAAAGCAGCTTTTAACAAGATTATATGCCTTCTGTAGACCTTCTTTAAAGATGCATCTGCAAAGCGCTTTTCTTATTTATTAGTCATATTGTTTCCTTATTATTGGGTTTTAAGGATCTTTTGTACTTTTAGATAGCAACCCTTTATTGAAACTCTTCATTGCTAGTATTTTCTCCAAGTTTGAGGTCTACATTTTCACTCTCTTACATTGCCACTGGTAGAAACAAATCTCTAATTTTATTAAGTACAGAACATTAACTTTTTTATTTTTGAATATTTGTGTTACTTCCATGGGGCTCCATAAATGGAGCATGGACTTCCTGACTGGAGGATATAACATTCTACAGTGGCTGCATGGGCAGAAGTCCTGTGCCTTCCTGTTTGCTGTCATTTAGATCTTCATCCTGGTAGTCTTGGATGTGAACATTTGTGGCCACCTGCAGACCCCCCATTATACGATTGTCAGGAACAGACACAGTGTTACATTCCCATGATGGCCTCTATTATTGGAGCCTTTCTTCATTCATTCCTGCACATACTGATTATTATTGAATTTTCCTTCTCTGACCCCAGTTTGACAGAGCATTTCTGTGATCTGTTCCCTTGCTGGTGCTGATGTACACTGACACTAGACTCCATGTCCTTACACGGCAGGACAGATGCCCAGCTTGATCTTTGTTGCCTTGCTGATTTCTTCCACCATATCCTCATCCTGTCTATCTTCAGGACCTGGTTACCCAAGGACAACACATATCCCCCCACCTGCATTTCACACATGACCATCATGTTCATGTTCTTCTATTTTGTCTTATTGCCTAAGCCCCCAAGATTGATTCCATCCCAGTGACCAGGGATTTGCTCCATTTTATGCTGTGAATAGAGCTTTGTTCAGCCCCCTCATCTACATGCTGGGAAGCACAGCCAGGAGGAACATTGTGAGGAAAGAGAGACTCGCAGATCGAATGCTTTGCTGTCAGAGCCCTTTGCTCAGTTTTGTTCTAGCTTTGGAATTGATCCCAGTAAATGCAGCAGGAGGTGCACTGTCACAAAAAGCCACAAGTCCTGAAAGAAGTAGACCCCAGTCACTGCCTCTCTGTTTCCTTATTTCTGTGGCTGTACACAGAGAAGAGATTCATGTGATCTCCAGGTCTCCCAGATCTGATCTTTGAGAACTTCTACTGCCCTTCAAGACCCCTAATATAATAGGCATCATAATGCTGTTATTGGAGCATATTATAAATATCATGATTTGCTTTAGTAAATACATGTCTTTAATGAGATACCTGTCATAAATTGAAAAAACACTTAATAACTTCCATTTTGAAATTTTCATTACACTAATGAAAAATGAGGAAAGTTAATGGCAATGTATCTTCTACCTGAATAATTTTAAGTGAAAAAAAAAAACAAAAAGTAAAGCTGTGGCAAATATACACATTACATATCTTAAATTTCAGTTAAGAAAATAGGTTTAAAAATTACAATTCAAAGTAGTTATAACATTCATATTTTACTAATAGAAGTAACAGTAATTCATTTTTAGTAGCTTATTGGTAGTGTATTAGATTAATTAGACTTTCAAAAGAGGATGAAGAACATTTGTTTTATTTAAAATTTACAAATATTTCCCTGTGACTTTAGTTACAGCCAAATTATGGAATTCTTTATAAGTATGCCAAATTGTACTGTTTCATAAATTTGTGGCAAGAAAATCTTCCCAATTTAGGTAAGGCTTTAAAGCAATGAAAGCATATAAATGAAGAAATAGATAGCCTTGATGTGCAACTTGTTCATTTTTATTGTATGTGGAACATGTATATAATACTGAAATTTTAATAATGATTTTTCACATTATGCAAATCTATGTCCATTGTACACAGAGATGTCTCTGTCATGAGAAAGAATGAATTCTCTTATGTTACAAATAAAGACAGAGACACATGTCTACTCACACATATACATACTAGAAAGTATGATGAATATGTTAATTAATTTGCTGATGATCACCTTTCAAAATTTATGTGTCTATCAAATCACCATTGCATACATATTGGATATAGAAAATGTTTAATAGTTATATCACAATGTAACTCAAAAACAAATCATGACTAAGTGGAACTCAGTGAAACTGCAGCATAGACTATTATCTTTAATGAAAGCAGGCTTTGCCTTGACTTAAAATGCAACTAGTGATTTCAGAGACTGAAGGGATTTCAGGGCTTACCACCCATTACTACAACATTTACCTGATGACTTGGGACTGAGAGTGTAGATGAAAGCTCACCAACTTTTCAATCATGAGCTGCACACAGGACTGCAATTTTCTTGTTCTCCTTCCTTTGTAGGACAGTGTCTACCAAAAAAAAAAAAAAAAAAACCCGAACTGTGTACACTTAAACTCTCACTTCCTCTTGTGTAACAGGACTGTGTCATAAAGGTAAGCAGGACCTGGTTAAATATGAGAAATTTTTTAGAATCATTCTTTTTTCTTTCTAAAAAGATTAGAGATGTGTCTTGCTTTAAAGTTTAGGAGAGGTAGGAAGAAAACTGATAATGTATGTAAAAATGGGATAAGAAGACAAGAACAGATGAAGTCAGGTTTTTACTTCCATGTTCATCTGAAGATGATTATCTCCTGGTGAGATCATTCAGAAAATTGAGGTTGAAAGGAAATTAATGTGGGTGGCTGCATGTACAGGTGTCAAATCTTGATGTTTGTTTTTAATAAGCTTTTGATCTATTTATATAGGCAGCAAACATTACTTCCAAATTAATTTTGCTTGTAGTGAGAGATTTGTTATCATCTTTCTCCTAAAAAAATACGGACCCTCTCTTACTCTGTGTGAACATGGCTTATAAATACAGGTTTACATTGTACCTACCAAACAATCCACAAGAGAGAAGTGAAAGGTAATCTATATGGGCATAGTTACCCTTCTGCCCATTCATTTCTACATGTGGCCCGTGGAAGAAACTGGGCAAGGCTGGCTGCTTTGTATTCTGGCATTGAGTGCTTGTTCATCATGTGGAGAACTCAGGCTACATGCATCCCTTCATGTCACAACTATTCTCTGTATTTTGAGTTTTGACACTGTTCTTTGCAAAGAACTTTTCACTTCATTCAGGAATGTGTCTCGGCTTCCACACTTGTAGAAGTAGACCATGCTCCTCTAGGATGAGCAAGGTTAATAATGATGTGTACCAGGCTATGTCTATAGTATAGTAATAAAGAGATTGCCTATCATGCCCAAGACCATGGGTTCAATCCTTACCACTGTGAATTAGAAGTAGTAGTAGTCATAGTGCTAGTAGTAGTAAAAGTACCAAATCAATCTAAAACTCGTGGTTTATATAAAAGGGATTTAATTTTAATTAATATTTCTTTGGGTAAACTTTAGTTCACCTCATCTAGCCTGGGCTTGGCTGGGTTTAAGTTAAGGTAGGCTCAGAATTCAATTTAATATTTATTTTTTCTCATGCATAAATAGCTGTGTTATTTACTCTTTGATGGTCAGATTATATTAATAATCTGTAACCATACACGAAGTAGATACATCACAAGAATCGCTAAATGAAGCATCTCCACTCAGGTAGTTGAAATGTAGCTAAATTCTAGAGCCTCAAAATGTGATAAATACTTTACTTTCCTAAAACATGTAAATATAAACAGGAATGACATGGTAGAAGATGAAAGCTATGCTTACATATTTTATTGACATTGTATAGAAAAGCAATTTAATATTTTATGATGTTTTAGGTTATATAAGTGTAATTATTAATTAGAAGAAATATCTTCATTTTTCCCAGTATTAAGTAAATGATTTTCTTTTCAACTTGAAAATGAGAAGAGTTGTCCTGTTTTTCACCAGTGAAGAACCAATGACTCATGTGGCAAGTTGTCTCAGTGAGTCTAATGGGCTGCAAAGCGGTGGATAGGGCTGTGATCATGCATCAGTGGGGAAGTGCTGTTGTGGATCAGAACTACTCTCACTAAAACTGGGGGAGCCTGAGGTTTTCCTCTTCTCTTTTCAAAGTCTTTCTGGATGTTGATGACGGCTGGAGCTTTTGTATTCTAGGAATATCAAAAATTATGGAACTAGGTCTGATGCTACATGCCTGTAATCCTAGCACAATTGGTAGTTGAAGATAAGGGACTGCAAATTTGAGCATAACCTGGGCAACTTAGCAACTTAATAAGGCCTGAATTAAAACAAAAAATAATAGCACTAGGAATGTTATCCATGTGAAGATACTGAGATCAATCTCACATAGCTAAGTGAAATCAATCATATGCAGAAGGTTAAATATTTCAAGGTTTCTCTAATATAAATATAAAAATAAAATTTAAATAAAATGAAAGAGATATAGTAAGATACAGGAAGACACAATATATGGAAATAAAAAGTTCTGAAGAAGTAGAAGATCTTTCAGGAAAAGGAGAAGAAAACTGATCAGGACATGATACATCAAAACACTGCTCTCCTAGGGTAAGTGTAAATATTATACATTGCAAACACATTTTAATAAACATTTTAAAAAAAATATCCAATACTACAAAAACTCCCAGTTTCTGCACCCAGTTTTTCAGATATACTACCAGTGATAGACAAATTTTCAAAGGAACTGGGTAAGAATACAGATTTTTGTATATCTTTTAACATTAGCCTAAATTAATAAGACTCTTGAGAAAGAAGGATAAAATGGAAACAAAGCTTTTGTAAATAAGGAGAGGAAAAGAGATTGAATGGAGGGGAGGAGTATCAGGTTCTGTCCTAGATCCTCTATCTCCCAAATGAGTGTATGGTGGAGGTTAAATAAAAAGAGACAAATTGTATGATTTTTAGGGCTCCATAAGGTTCCAAATCCTTTAATTAAGCTCAAGCCTTCGAGGGTAAAGACAGAGGATTCTCTGGATCAGTCCACTTATATTAGGACCAAGGACAAAGGGCGGAGAAACTGAGGAAAGGGCAGGCAATGAGCAGGACCATGGGAGTCACTTCAAAGACATCTCCAAATAATGAATCAAGTCAATTAATAGAATTGTCTTATACTGAAGACATGGTAGAAATGAGACTGTTGGATTAATCTTTGTAGCTGCAGTCTCTGCCTTGTTAATTGGTGTTGGAGACAGAGCGTTTGCAGCTGTGGCCTTATCTTGCTCTTTGAGGTATCTCTGGCCTCACAGGCCACTACAGGCCTCAGCCAGGACCAGTGATTCACTTACTAAGAATCAGCTCCTGTTGCCAGGCAAGGAGCCGAGGCCTAGACAGACTCACAGATAAACATAGAAAATCAATTAATAAAATTTAAATCCTCCTCAGAGCTGCTTTGTAGTGGGCTTCAAGAGAGGAGAATGGAGAAAAATGAAGAATCAAGATATGTCATATTCAGGTTCATTTTTCCTAAGCTGAATGTGATCACCATGATCTAAATTGCTCCAATAAGTTTAACTAATTAAGAAAGAATCTCTTAAAGTATATCCTATTATATGTGAAAAATCAAAGTGAATCTAATGATTTTCCAAGATTTTTTTGACCTTGCCTCATTTTAAAATTAAACAGAAGAGACACACAGAGAACAACTGAATAAAATCTAAACCAGTAAAATCAATATGGATTTTTGTGGTCCCAGGGCAAGACTTAGAATATAATTAGAATACTTAATTAGAATTAGAATTAGAATACTTAGAATATAATTATAATTATAATTTTTAATCAAGGTGCCCTGTAGCTTTTTAAATTTTTTTACCTTTAACTTGGGATGCATCAACATCATATGTCATGTAAGCACTGTAGTTCTTTCCTCAATCAATGTTTATATTCTACCCCAACCATAAACACAAATTCAGGTATATGTGGTAGAGTGGATATTTGGATTTCTGGAAAGGGAAATGGGACAATGGCAGATGCATTCAGTAACACCATTTTCTACAAAAAAGGAACCTCATTTGAGTTTCCTATCACTAGTGAAGATACCAGTGCACACAACAAGAAATATTCTCTGCAATGAAAAGAATATTAAGAGCATGTTAGTTTATTTTTTTAAATTTTATTTAAATAAAGACTAAACAAAATCAAAAATGGGTAGAAATAATACATACATTCAAAGAAAAAATAAACAGTAAGAAATGACTAGTTGATTGCACCCCTGCTTCTTCATTTACATTCTTTATTCTCAAGTTATAGATCCTCTTGTCATCTTCTCGCCTTTGTAATGCTACTGCTTATTTCCTTGTTATTTAAAAAAGTTTTTCCTTTCCTAATCCCCCATTGCAAACCTGTCCTCCAGTTTGAATAATGTATCCTTAGTTTCTTTCAAGCAGTTTTGCCCTCTTTCTATAGAGTTTTTAATTTCCTGGTAATCTCTTTGAATCTGTTTCATGTATTCTATGTTTTCTTTATATTCTTTATAAAATGGTTCTCTCCTTTGTTTGAGTTCCTCCATTCTTCTGTGTCTTCTTGAGGGGCACTTAGCATCTCTTTTATTAATTTTTTCATATCTTGCTTTACTTGGCTAAATATTTCACTTTTGAAGTCATCTATGAGGTCCTGAAGATATCTCTTGTCTACTGGTGCTGTGTCTGATATTGCATATTTGCTGTCCTCATTCTCATTTGTATTTACCTGTCTTGGGTCAGTGTTCTCAGGGTTGGGACCTTGGGACTTATTCTTGTTGCTTCTTCTTCCCATCTTTTTTGTTTCTTCCAGGAGGCCCTAGTTTCTTTCTTTGTTGGTTTCAATTCTTGTAAAGCATGCTGGCTAGGTGACCCTTCTAATTGCAGTGTTCTAGTGAGTTGCAAACAGGGGCGGCATATGCTGGCCCCTACCCCCTGTATCAGCCAATATGGTGAAGCCTTCACTATGTTAGTGTGTGTCACCACTGTAGGGAATTGATTTCCGATAACCTATTGGGTCTCAGCAAGGTCATGTGACCCAGGGCAAGCTTACTCCATCAATCCCATTTGGGAAGGGAACAACTGATTGAAGTGAAGTCATTGCTGCCTCTTGTTCCTGCCAGTCCTTCCCAGTCCCAGAATGTCATCTGTTGGAGCCCCCTTCTCTGTGGAATGGTTTTATTCCCGTCACTCACCACAAGTCAATGCAGGTTCCTGACCAGCTCAGTTTTCCATTTGTTTCTCCAACTCCCATCCTCAGTGCAAGTGTGTTTCCAGTGAGCCGAAGAAGCAGAATTTCTGATGGCTTGGTAAATCATCACCTGTCGGATTCAGGCACTGCAGCAGGAGCACTGAACCTTCAGCTGTTCCAATAGTAGCATTAAGACTGTATGTTTGATTGGTTCTTCTCACCTTAGTTTCTTCTTGAGATGAGAGAATTCATCTCCCTCTGTTTGGGACTCCTCACACTGTATTATGTTGAATTCTAAGCTGACTATCTCAGGGAGTCTCTGTAGTCTGCTATTATCTATCCGCCAACAGTACAGTTTATTTATTTATTTATTTAGTTTTATTTTTTTGAGACAGGGTTCCACCATGCAGTTCAGGCGGGCCTTGAGCTCACTTTGTAGCCCAGGCTGGTCTCAAACTTGCAATGATCCTTCTCCCTCAGCCTCCTGAATGCATGGATTACAGGTGTGAGCCACCACACCCAGCTCAACATTATAGTTTAAAAGGAGCATTTTACACATTGATCCATCCCATCTTCTTCATGTTGGTGTAAAGACACTGAATACCACCTTTCATCCAGGATCAGAGGTAAAGATTCATCTTTAGAGTTTTAAGTTTGCTCTGTGTCTTTCACATTCCTTCCTCATCTTGGCTCACAATCCAAATTTCTAAATTAGGTTTTTTCCATGTTTGGAGACCTTTGTAAGAATACTTTGGCTTGGTTTTGATTTTCAGGTATTATATTGTCCACCTCATATACAAATATTGAATTCCCAGTGTGTTCAAATCATAGTTCAAACCCCTAGAAACAGCCTTCAGTACTCCTGAGAACATTAGCACTTTTAAAGAACATGGTGCAAGGGTAAAAGGAAGAGGAAAAAATAATGAGGCTGAGAATAAGCATGCTTGAGATCCTTATAATGGTGATATCTCTACTGAGTGCATTTCAGAAAAACATCTGATCATAAAATAAGTGCAATAATTATGATAATGATCATACTTCACTTCTATAGAATATATCATTGTCTCTTGTGCTTGCTTGCAAATGTTATGAGGTGTTGCTGCTTCCACTCTGCACAGAAGAATTAACAAGAATGAAAAATTTTAACATCTTCCATGGTTAATTATTACTTTCAGCTCTTTGCCCTTGAACTCCCAGAACATATTTCTGTTCCACAATTTCCTCATCTTATTCTTCACTTCTGCATTTCTCAGTGTATAAGTTCGAGATTTAACATGAGAGTGATGATGGTGTAGAATACTTCCACTATCTTATACTCAGCGAAGATCGTGTCAGGTCTCGTGTACATAAAAGTACAGTAACCAAAAACATGATGACTACTGCAATGTGGGAACCATAGGTGGAGAGGGCTTTTGGTTTACTTTCCACTGACTGCTTCTGCAGAGACAAAAGAATGATGATATAGAAGATGAGCAAGATGGTGAAACTCCCCAAAGCGATGGCACCACTGTTGGCTGTCACCACAACACTGACGACATAAGTATCTGTGGAGGTGAGCTTCAGCACAGGGCAAACATCGCAAAAGTGATCTCACCGGAGCCACCAAAAGGGAGTTGAACTAGGAGAGTCATTTGGAGTGCAAATGGAGTGCAAAACTCCACCCACCCTAGCAGCATTTTACTGCATTGCTCCTTGAGACAATAAAATTATCTGGAGGACAAATAGAAAAAAATTATCATTTATTTCTAATTCAGGAGCAAGTAAATATTTGCAGTAGTTGGCATTGGGAAAATGGATGCTTACTATTCTTGGACATACATACTTAAAATCTTACCACCTATCTGTTTTGACCCTGTTACATCAATCTATTTTTTCACGTTAGATAAGGAAGAAAAGTAAAGAGTGCTAAAGAAAATTCATAAAATTTATAAAATATCTCTCCTTTATTATTTTTTAAGGTTTACTCATCTGTTTCTAAGGTTACTTTGTGTTGTGTATAAGGCCCACTGATTAATTTTGAAACAATTTCCATGTGTAGAGATATGGTGTTGCTTATCTGCTCAGGACTACCTGCTTTATTTTTGGTGCAGAAGGAAAAACACATGTCACATTTTCCCTTCCGAGTGCTGCCATCACCAGTCACCACATTCACTCATGGGTCCTATAGTAGTAGAGGTTAAGGAATCTCTCTAGGTTCTCTTACTTAGTAAATCTGGATCTTATGCAAATGAATGTTCAGCTCCTCACCTGGTCACATTGCTATAAAGATGTGGCTCAGGGTAGTTGAAAATGGACCAAATTTACATAAACCTGATTCTGAAATCAGCATGCTATAATTTAAGTAAATCATTTAACTTTCTATAGTTCCTGTCATTTGTGAAAGGATGGACTTTCAATTTCACTATCATCTTGTCTTATGAATAGTTATCTCTACTTTGAAAATTAATCACTTTTGTAAGTATAGAATGGACGAAACCATGATATGGAAACAGAAATTAGTAAAGACATGGCAAATTTTTCAACAATGCAGATGAAGTTAGCTTTATTTGATTTAAATTAAAGGAAGTGAAACTGGGAAATTTCCCCATCTACGAATTCAGATTATGATTCCTCAAGTATTAACTTGACTTGATAGTTCAATATTTGTTTTTTAACTGAAACAAAGAAAAATGAACTAAAAAACCCCTCCCCTTTGATGTTAATGTAAAAATCCTTCACAAAAATCTGAAAAATTTGAAGATAAAAGTTCATTTTATGAATTCTGGATTATTCATTATGAGCTCAGGAACTTGTGTTTGCCAGGCAGGCACAATACCGGTAAGCTTTACTTCCATTCCTAAACCCAGTGTTATTTTGATATCAGAAAAAGACAAGGACACTGCAAAAGGAAATTTCAGACCAACATTCTTGCTGAGCATAGCTTTGCAAATCCTCAACAGAATCAGTAACAGATGATGTAGTATTAGGTAAGTGTATTTTATCTTATAGGTGTAAGCATAGTTCAACATTTACACGTCTATAAATGCGATGTACTATATTCAAGCAATAAAGGGAAGTACATGTTTTCATCTCAACAGATATAAAATGCAAACTTCAACCTTTATGCATGATAAAACTATAAAAAATTAGGGACAAAAAGAATGCGCCTTTACACAACAAGGACCACATATAACAACTGATTTGCTAATATTGCATCCTAAGGTGAGAAGTTGAAAGTTTAGAAGTTTCTTTGTTAGACTGAGAATGAGATAAGTATGCTCACTCTGGTCACTTCTATTCAAAAGAGTTCTACAACCTGAATTTATAGGTGTGGCATTAAGTCTCAGTCAACAGAGTCTTGCCTGACTAAAGTTTATACTGTGGTGGTTCTAATGCCAAGTGTGTGGGAACAGACCTCCTGGACATTGTGACCCTGATGGCTTTGGGCCATGAGAATAGCCTTAATCCTATGGCCATGCTGGTATTATAGCTGGCAAAGAGCGCAGATCCTCAAGATTGATTGGAAGCCTCTAATCTCAGGCAATGGTTTGTTATCAGAAAACAAGGTCTGTGAGAAAGTTCCTTGATTCTGGGTCCATGAGCATGGGCTAAATATCATGTTTGTTGATGTTGGCATGTTATTTGAGGAGGGTGTCCTTACCTGATGCTTGGGTAAGATTGCAAGGGCTTCCTTGGTCCTGGATGGGCCTGCATCCTTCATACATAGGGCACAGCCTGATGACTTGGAATGGAGGGTGATCCTACTGCTAAGAAGGTTTGAAGTCTGACTCTCTGGTGGTTTCTTGTGGCCTCTGGGGTTAGCTTAATGCAGAGAGAGAGATCAGGAGCATGGTTTTATGGGCTGGATGAGAAAAGGGATCAAATACTCTGTTTGCTGATGTCAGACTGGATCCTAGAATCACAGAGGCTTGTAAAGTCCTAGACAGGCCTAGAGGCTTAGTCTGCAGTCATAGGCATTTCCCAGGTGCTGAATTTGCTTGGTGCAGACCCATAGTTGGGATTCCAGCAAAAGTCTGTTGTCTATTTTTCTCTTTAACACATGTGCTGGGTTACTTTTCCATATTGCCTAGGATTAGGGGAAAGTGATGCAGGTATTGCAAAACTGTCTTTCCTATACTTTTAAAGTTTATTTTTCATATTTCCATGGTTTCCATAGCTCCAAAAGAAAAGGAAAAATAACAGAACTGTAAAGAACCTTTAGCAGTAAAACATACACAGAACAGCTCCAGCCCTGAAGATAGTCCTACACCAGCTCTGTATTTTCTTGTTGGCTCCGGGACAGCAAGAACTCATTCAGGGGCAATGTGTTTGTAAAGAAAATGTGGTCATTCTGTGGGGGAAAGACAGTAGGAGCAAGATGATGGGAAGTGGGAATCAAGACATGGAGCTGAGATTGAGATACAGTTTTTTTGTTGACCAGGGTTTGAACTCATGACCTTCTGCTTTACAGGCAGGTGCTTATAGCACTGGGCTAAATCTCCAGCCCTAAGTTATAGTTTTATAACCTTGGAGGGAAACTGATAATCAGAGTAGCAGCACCTCCCTAATACAGAATATAAATAAATATAGAGTCTGCAAACAACCCGAGTTTCATTTCTTCACTAAGAGGTACACTTGTACCCATGTTAAATTTTTGGCCCATTGGCTGTCATTTGTTTTATTATTTATACATTATTATTCAAGTTACACAGCAGTGCTCTAGACATGTAAGAAGAGTACATAAATGCCATTTGAATTTTCTTAGAAAATATATTAGACTAAATCATATATGCTATTTATGTCCTGAGTCCAATTAAATAGGAAAGATTTATTTTGCTTTTTTTTCTTTTTTTTTTTTGTTTTGTGATATCGAGGATCAAACTCATGACCTCACACTTGCCAGGCAGGCGCTTATGCCCCTGAGCTAATTCCCTTGCCCCACTATTTTGCTTTTTAATAAACTGTGAAATACATATTGTCCTATCATCTAACATTTTTGATCATTTTCTAAACATTACTTTTTAACTTTGATATTGACAAATATGATGCTTTATAAAAATTAAATTTAAACTTGCCAGTATTTGTTGATCAACTGATGACAGTCGATGATGTTAAGTTTGTCAAATACTTTCTAAATTCTACCTAAATTTATCTTCTTTGTAATGTTTCTTCACTTTCTATTTCTCAGTGCAGACTTTATTGTTTTTACAGTTATATAGTGACATAAACAAACAAAATAAGAAAGGTAACTAACAAAGGTACCTAAACTGGCAATAAGTGAGTTAGGTATTAGAATAAGGAATATTTAGCAAAAGAAAACTATTGTAAAAACAGTGGTGATTTTCACACACACACACACAAAAATAAAAGCAGACAAGAATTGGAAACTGCATCAAGTTCTAACAGCCAAGATTGCAGTTTTTCCTTTTCATGATATGCATATGGTGAAGAGGTTTCAGGCAGTACCACAATGATAAAAGGCTGTGGCAGTCATAATGAAGACCGAAATACCTCCCAAGAGGTACTGACCTGTACTGCACATGACCATAGAAAACACAGGTATAGTCAAAAAAGTCCATGAACAAAAACAAAACTGCTAACTGCATGCAAAGTGCTTCATTGAATCAACAGTTGGGATCTCATCATATTAAAAAAAATTTCACATCAAAACAAATCACCAACAAAGTGAAAAAAAAATGTGAATTGAGAAAATATTTTGCTATTTGTCCCTGAGACAAAGGACTTCTATCTAGAATGTACAATCAATTTTTTTTCAAAATCAAAATTTAAAAACCCAATTAAAAATGAGCATCTGAGATTAATAAATTATTTTCAGATGAAGAACTAAAAATGAACAAATATATGAAAAAATGTTCAACATCTTTGGTCATTTGAGAAATGCAAATTCAAATAACACTGAGATATCATCTTACTCCAGAAAGAATGACCAACATCAAGAAATCAACCAGTGACAATTGATGGCAGGGGTGTGGGGAGTGCAGACTTATACAACTGCTGTGGAAATCAGTGCAGAGATTTCTCAGAAAACCAGGATGAGAGGGTTCAATTCGACCCAACTATAACCTTCTAGATATTTTTCCAGAAGAATTGAAAACATCATACCATCCATGTTTATAGCTGCACAATTCGTAATAGTCAGATCATGGAAACACCCCAAATGCTCATTAACAGAGGAATGGTCAAAAAAAGATGTATTTTTACACAGTGGAATGCTACTCAGCCATTAAGAATGGTACAATCAAGGCTTTTGTAAGTAAATGAATGCAACTAGAAATCATACTCACAAGTGAAATAAATCAGACTTGCATGTATACACACCATATTGTCTTGCTACTGTAAGAAACTAAAGGAGTAAATGAGATCCAAAAGATCCAAAAGATATAGTAAAATGCAAAGAAACTGCTCAAAGGTAAATTATATTGTTTGATCAATTTTGCATCCCTGTATCTGTTAACCTGAGAAAAAATACACGATATAACAACCATTGTTATATTCCTATCATCTTGGTTTGAAATCCTATATCACTATTGTTTTTGTTGTTCTTATTGTTGTCATTTTGAGTTTGTTGTGTTTTTTGTCTGTTTGCTTCTTGATTTTTCTGTTTTTTTCACTTTAAAATAAAATTAAAATTAAAAAAAAATCCCAGAAGATTCTGCTGACTTAGTAAACAGAATGTGTTGCATTAGGGGTATAGTAAAGGTCCATGGAAGACAAGTAGATGAAGAAACCCCATTTAGTTAGTATAAAAGAGCACTGCATGGCATAGAAACAACTAGAAGGTGGCCTTGCTACACTGTAGTATAACAAAGAAAGGAAACAACAGAAAGAAACGTATTTGTATGTACTGGTCATAAGAAATTTCCAGAAGATAATTTGATCGCCAAAGCAGATTACTGTATCCTGTAAGGTTATCCTTCAAAATAGAAGCAGAAATATATTGTAAAATCAAAAGGCCTTCCAAGATAAGGAAGCATTAAAGAAATCCATGACCAACAAGAGAAGAGGATCCTTTTGAAAATAACATCCAGGAAGGCAAGAGAAGGAATAAATTTCACTAAAAGATTAACTTAGAAAGAGACGAGAGAGACAGAGACAAAGATAGAGACCTAGAGATACAGGAGGAGGAGGTGAGAGAGATTAATGAATCAAAGTGCAGAAAAATGCCAGGAACTATTTCAGATATTCAGTAACATCTAATGTAAAGAAAGTTAACTCTAAATACAGACTGGTAAATAGGACAAAAAAGCAAGACCAATTTACATGTTGCCTCAAAAGATAAATTTCATCTACAAAGATGGAAAGTCATAGGATAGAAAAGGAGCTAAAGAAGCTGAGCTTAAGAGTAATCAGAAGTATACTTATGTCTGTTAAAATCATCTTCAGACCAACACTATTTAGAAGAAAAAATAGCATTACATATTGGTAAAAGGAAGAATACAGCAAGAAGCAATAATAGCTGGAAATATATATGCACTGAATTTTTGTGCATCAAATTTCCTTAAAAGTATCTGTCTGTAATCAAAGGACACAAAGATATAAGTATAATCATATTGGGATCTTAAATACACCATTCTCAGTAATTGGTCAACCAGATAAAAAAATCAACAAGGAAAAATCTGAAATTAGACTATAGATCAAATGGGCTCAGCTATCTGTACAGATTTTTTTTAAAATAGCAAAACATATTTTTTGTTAGCCTATGGAATTTTTCTCTGCAAATAGATCACATGTTAGGCCATAAATAAATCACAGTAAATGCAAAACAAGTGAATTTTTCTGATGCATCCTAACATTATTACAATAAAATGACACTAAATATTGTTAGAAGAAACAACAGGAAAGTTGTAATTGAATAATATACTTTTTTTGTACCAGGAATTGAACACATGACTTGAGTGTCAGTCAGGCAGTGTGACACTGAGCAATAGCCCCAACCAAATAACAGCTTTTGAAGAATGAATGGGTCACAAAAGAAATCAGGGAAAAATAAAAATTCCTGAAATCAAACAAAAAAAGAAAACCATATCAATATCTGTGAGACATATTGAAAGCATTTCTCAAGGGAACTTCATAGCTATGTGTCTACATTAGAAGATCAGAAAACTCCCAAATAAATAACTTAATGATTCATCTCAAGGTCCTAACACAGAGAGTCTAAGTGAATCTTACTGGGTATTTAGAGATATAGGTATGGTTAGAGAAAAAGTTGAAGAATGTGAAAACCATAATACATGCAAAAGGTCAAATAAAATATTTCATAGCTTTTGGTTCAATCTGTCTTTGAGTTCTTATTTTTGAGTTCCAAACCACTTCTAGGATGACATTTCTGATAGTTATGGGATTAAAGAATGTTTTCATTTGAAATGAGCGGATGTCCATTCAATTAAGATATTTCCTTTAAAAATTGATTAATGCTTAATATTTAAATTATCAATAAATTTCTGTGTAATTTGATAGAATTTGTTAAACTATTTACAATTTAATAAATATTCTTACATGTATTGCTTACACTCATATACAGAACAAAACATTGGATCAAATTCTCCTCTATATTTAATTGATTTTTTGTAAATATTAGACATAATGAGTAGCCCAGAAAGTGAATTCTAGACATGACAACAAGCAAAAAAAAATGATCAATAGATTGTGTTAATGGTCTAATTATATAAAATCACTGTAATTATTTCTGTACAATTTTGTGACCATTAGAGTAGCATAAGATAACAAACAGTTTTAGTTTTTCTTTGTTTTGCTGCCTAGCATTCATTCTGATTGGATGGACACTTCCCTGCCCCATGCTGGAAATTCACAAGACCTCCTGGTCACAAGAACATGGACACACTCCCCATGCACAGGAGTATTTGCACATACTATGTGCCTATGCTTAAAAACCATCCAAAAGTTCCAATGAAAAACTTTAGTCAAATAAAGGTTTGACTCAGTACATAAATAGTTAAAACAGATTTTCTTTTTGAATGGACAGTGTTTTCCCTGAGAGTCTAAGTTTTTACAGATTCAAGAGAAAAAAGTGATTATTAAGCACAGAATGGGGGAACATAGAGAGATCTTAAATCAGAAGCAGAAGGAAACAGTGCAAAAAAGAGGAGGATGGTGAGGAGGGCAAGGAAGAAGAGGAAGAAGGGAGAGAAAGGAAGGAGGCAGGTGATGACACCGATATTTCAAAATTTCTGAACGTTCAAACACGATAAAGAGATGTAGCACTGAAGACAAACTCTGCAACACCTAAATTTTTGCTTGGTATAGACATTGCCTTGAACCAGGAAAAACTCATTCAAGGAAATTCTGAAGTTAATTCATTCAGCCATGCTGCTGAGAAGACATAAATACCTGAGTGATGAAAATACCAGGCAATGGGAACAAAGGCTCAGATCACAGATCAGGTCAGGTTATTTTATGAGACACGGGAAACTACATCTGAAATCGTAGTGCTCCTCACATACAGAAAATCAGTGAATGAACAGATCCTACAGAGGACTGACAGGAAACTGGATCTTGTTTTCTTGCTAAAAGGCATGTGGATAAGTTTGTTCACTTTTTTCTCTTTCAGTTATTGCTTGTTATTAGGGCACAATTGTTATTTACATATGAAAATATTCTAAAGATTTAAGAACATCAAACATCAAACAGAAAAGAAAACAGAATCTTACAGTGTAACTCACTGTTTATCTCAAATTTGAGCTATTACTAAAAAAGAAAGATATAAACAAAAATAAAAAGAGAGCACATGACAATTGTAAAAATTATAGTTTATGAGCAGAGACATACATGTTATATGGTACCTCTGAGAGGTGGTAAATGCACAGAGGAATAGCAGTAAATAGAACTAAATAATTCAAAATACTTTTGGCTTCTTCTTGAAGAATATAGCATCCAGTGTGTAAGGATCTCTGGCACTCAGACTCTGAGCGTAGCAACAGGGACATCCCAAGGAAAGGAGAGAACAAGACCAAAGCCCTAGAGATGAGAGAGATTTTACTATAAAGCCACACAAAAGGAGATGCAGGAAAAGGAGAAATAATAGGAAAATGAAATTATCTTTTCTGACCTCTCCCACTAAAACTTCACATGTACCAGGGTAGCCAAAATTGGTGCCACTCAACTGCAATCCCATCATCTTGGGAGGCTGAAGCAGGAAGATCCAAGTTTGAACCCAGTCCCAGCAAAGTAGTTCAGTGAGACCTTACCTCAAAAAATAAATAACCAATTGAAAATGTACATATAGGCTAGGAATGAAACCCAGTACAAAATACTCAGTTCAATGGCCAGTACTGAAAATAACACTAATAATAATACAGAGCACTGGGTAATATCTCAGTTTAATCTGCATTATCAACAATGGTTACCATAATGCCTCCCGCTATCTCTAATAGAATTGCCTATATCATTAGTATGTTTTTATATTATCTATTATGTCCACCCTTTTGACTTGACCAATTCTGTTCTGTTATGTCACATTTGGTTTTACTCTCTTCCAAAAAAGCAATAAGAACCGTGGGAGCAATGAAACCCAAAATGTGTAATAGTCATTGTACAAAAGAGAGGAAAAGAAAGTGCTCTAAACTATATAACTGCATGTATATTTAAGTGTATAAGATAGAAAATGATATCACAGAGTTTTATTGGACCATTGAACAGAACTGTTTGCAGTATCATTGTTGGAATGTCCACTCTACAAGCTTTAATTTTGTGACTTGAACAATTATTTCTAAGATGGCAATATGTAATCCATTAACTAGTGATTTCCTACTGCGCATTTTTTCTTCTGTAAATCTGTATAACTTGTACCCCTTCACTGTTTTTTTTTCTTTTCTCCTTAAATAAAAAAAATAATCTGCATTATCACCAAAAAATTCACATATGTAATCTAATTCTCCACATTTAGGAAATGTAGCATTACCTCATTTTATAGATGTTATAGAAATAGAGACATATAATTAATGAAAACTCTCAAAAGCATATATAAAAACTGACAGAATTAGTATGGTATCCAACTATTCATGACACCAAATCTAATTATGTAATGACATACTTCCAATATGATGAGTTCTGAGATGAACATATCAGACCTGGCCAGATTCAAAAGATTAACAGTGAAAACACTGGGTTGTATCTCAAAGAAAATAGAATTTTTCATGTGATTTCTTTTATTGGAGAAAAAGAGACATATAAAATAAAGGGTGCTTTCAAAGGCCACTTTTTGTATTCTTCAAACTGGTTGATTATATGTGGAAATATCTGAGCTACTTAAAAGTACAGATTACAACTTCACTAGCAGTCACATGAGAGGTCAGTTTTGCTAATGTCCTGGAGAAAGCTTAGATTGTTCCCATGATCTCTCACAGGAGTAAAAGCATAATGAATGTTCCCTTATTTAACTTAATTTTCAGTGTAACATTCGAGACCACACTTTGTGCATGGTCTTCATCTCCATATTTCTTAGCGTATAGATGAGAGGATTCAGCATGGGTGCAATCACAGTGTAAAACACAGAGATCTCCTTGTCCTTGTTGTGGTCCCCTGCAGGTAGCGCATAGGTATAAACACAAGGCACAAAAAATAAAACTACAACCATTATGTGAGAGCTACAGGTGGACAGAGCTTTGCGACGCCCTGCAGATGACCTTGTCCTAAGATGATACAAAATGAGTATATAGGAAGCCACCAGCACAAGAAAAATGACAACCGCCACCATACCCGAATTAGCAATCAGTAAGATACTAACAACACGAACGTCTTTGCAAGCAAGTTTCAAAAGAGGCTTCACGTCGCATAGGTAGTGATCTATCTGGTTAGGACCACAGAAGGGCAGCCTGAGTACCATGAGAAGCAGGGCGATCGAGTGCCAAAACCCAAGTCCCCAGGCCATGCCAATCAGCATGCTGCACCTCTTCCGGTTCATGATGACTGTGTAGTGCAGTGGTTTGACGATGGCAACGTAGCGGTCAAGAGCCATGCACACTAAGATGAATATTTCCACACCAGCCAAAAGGTGGATAGCGAAGAGCTGGGTCATACAGTCGTTGTAGGAGATGCTTTTCCTTGCAGCAGCCAAGTCCCTGATGAGCCTGGGAACCACACTGGAGGTGTAGCAGAGGTCCATGAGGGAAAGGTGGCACAGAAAGTAATACATAGGTTGCTCGATTAAGTGGCTGCAGGTGATCGTGAGTAAAATGGTGACATTTCCCATAAGGACGGCCAGGTAACAAAGCAAGAACAGGAAAAAGAAAAATAGCTCTATTTTCTGATTTCTCCACAGTCCCAGAAAAATAAATTCTGTGACATTCTTCTGATTTTCCATGTGGGCAGTGTGAATCCAAAATAAACAATAAACCCCTTCACCTGGAATAGTGCCAAACAAAATATATCTTCAATAATGCAGATCGTATAAGTTTTGGAGATATTTATACATCAAGAAGATAGTTGAAATCATAGCAGACTTATTGCAAGATTAATCTATAAAGCCCTTTAAATTAAAAAGCATCATTGTATTTTTAAATAAGAGTACACATGGAATTTAATAAATATTTGCATACATTTAACTTTTAAAAAACAGTAGGTACTGTTCAGACATTCATTTTTCATAAAAACAAAAATAGATGGTAGGAAACCTCTGTCAATTACATTTATCAAGATACTAAACAAAAGACCCAATGTATAAACCTATGTCTGGTGACAAGTTTTCACATCCTAAGCACGAAGCTACATCATCTACAAACAAGCTGGAACTCTGGATGTTTTCTATCCCTCTACAAAGCTATTCTCTTTCATTATCATCATTTATTAACTGTGAAATATTAAAGAAGTCCTTGTCCTCCCCTATTTTACTTGTAATTTACTTAAAATATCCTAATCTTTTGATTAATGTTTCAAAAATAAGATGAAGTTAGTATTCATAAATTTAAAAATTCAAGGCTTTTAATCACTGTAGTAAACTAGTCTGAACTGGTTGAAAACCTTTTCTGTACTCCTCCATAGAATGTTTAGTCAAAGTTCAAGATATAGTGGGTATGGATATAAGGAACCAGAGGAAGCAATGTTGAGGATCTAGATAGAGATATTTTTTCATTATGAAACATTTTTATATGAAAACCTTCACTATTTCTGTAAAATTGTAAGTACATTTATTGAAGTTTACTACAGATCTGTTAGGCACACTGTAGAGAGCAAATTACTTCCTGATTATTGGTCAAAGGACCTATTCTTAACACAGAACCTGCTGATTTAATCTCACATCTAAAAGAGTTCATGTGGTCAGATGCTGCCCATCTGGGATCTCAGAATGAACAAGTTGAAATCATCACCTTTATTAGTACCTAAATTTCCTCTTTAGCAAAGCCAGGCCAAAAGAAGAAACAATAATTTTAAACAATCTGTGCTCTTTCAATGCAACCATAAGGAAAGAATATATTGTTCTGTGTAGATGCCTCATCTAAGGAGCAGAGACAAGCACTCTTCTCATGTTGTCTGCTGATCTCTTTATTTACAGCACTGATCAACTGGTTCCCTCTGAGAGCTTCCTTTTACAATTGCTTTCTGTAAACTATGGTACTCAGATCTATTTGCCTTATACCAGAAGCAAAATAAGTTCATATAAAATGATTTATGTAAGGACTTTCAAGGGCTCCATAGCAGCCCAATAAATTATTTAGAAAGGAGCAAATTCTTGTAAGAGGAAATAGGTACCACCAGTTTCATTTGGCAAGATTTGCAATGGCTATAAGTTTTGTGTTATGGGAACCACAAAGAGATGGCTTGATGAATGTATTGAACACACATTAAGTACAGAATTTAAAAACTGCTAGGAGTTACAAAAAAGTGAGATTGGAACATTTGCTTTGTGTTCAGATTATGTAGATGAATATGTAAGTTAAAGGACATAAAAGAATATACAAATAATGTCTCATTAAAGTTAGAAAACAAAACTCAAGTAAAACTAGATAATTGAAATTGCAGAAGTGTAAATTTCCAGCAAAATATTTCCAATGATATTGGTAAAAGTCTCAGGATCTCTTAACTTGTAAACCCAGGACTTCATACATACAATGATGAAATATAAATTGGAGAAATGCAAACCTATGAGGGCATCAATGCTACAAAACAGTTCCTATGCTATCTTCATTAAGAAAAACTGTAAAGTTAGCTTGTGTCGAAATATTCAGAAGTTCCAATCCACCCTCAATCCCATACTATCTTGTAATACAGAAAATTCTCAATCTATAACACCTCTCTCATGCCCATACAAACACACACACACACACACACACACACACACACACACACACACCACTCATATATACTCACTAGATACACATATTTATGGGTACACAAGGCTTTAAGGGTAAAACATTAATGATTCATTTTGTTATTTACTTTTCACTCAAAATAAATTGTCCATAAATCTGTCCTTTACTGTTTAAATCATTTCAGGAAGATCTGTAGAGAAATTTGTCAAAGATATGAAAATTTCTGTATCAGATGAAAAAAAACAAATAAAAACATTAAAGCACAGTTCATCAAAAGTAGATTATGATTAAAGCCATGAGACTGTATGAGGAATGTAAAATTCATCAAGAAATATTTTATAAGACTTTTTTCTGTTTCTTTATCTACTTATGTCTTTATCAATAAAATATATGAGATGGAAGGATATAGACCTAAATATGTGATGTATTTTTAGTAAAATGCTTACATGCCATATATTAATAATATGTTCTAGGAATAGCAATAAAGGTCTTTTATTTTGTTGCTCATTTTATTTTTATTATGACTGAGTCTATGTTAATGAATTATTGCCTCTGTTTTGCAAATAAGAATACTATAGCCCAAGACTACACAAATAGTAAGAGGAAGGTCTGTACCTAAACTATGGTAGTATATTCCAAAACTGTAACTTTATTACTATTTTTACTTCTCTCACATATACAAATCAAGTTTCAACTCTTTTGTTATTGAATTAATTTATCCTAAACACCATTTGGATTTTCCTTAGTGTGATCCTTTAAGAATCATCCCAAGAAAATATACTCCAAAAGTAGAATTTAAAATTAAAATGCAGTAATGTCAGTTTTTCATTAAACATTTGTTCCCAAAACCAAAATTGTATCCCTATGTAAGACTATGTAAGAATATATATATATATATATATATATATATATATATATATGTGTGTGTGTGTGTGTGTGTGTGTGTGTGTGTATAAGTGCTAATCATAATTCTTCTGCCAGATTATTTTACCTTTCTTTGAAATGTCCAAGAGTTCCTTCAGGCTGGTTCCACTCACTTTTCTTGGTTGTACTTGAAACAGCCAATATGTAGAAAGCATCTGTATCACCATGAATCTTGAATCCAAGAATACATTTGAGAGCTGCATTCCTGGTAACATATTGAATTAAAAGATACAAAAGGCCTCAAGGGAAATACTACCATGGGTAATTTTTTTGGCAGGAATTTAATGGATAGTGATAATGGGAAAAGTACTGTCAACACTATTAAAGTGGTCATGCTGATAGTTTTAAAGTTTCTTTTAATTTTTTGTGTTATGACACAAGTGATTCAAGATTATAGTAACATAGTGTGGATGATTTTTTTCATATCTCTCTACTCAAACAGAAGTTTCCTTAAATATTGAATTTGCTGAAGTTTGTATAACATATGCTTCCTAAGGAATGTATTATTAAAAATCAGAATTTTTAATATGACAAAAGAATTGTAAGATCCAAGTGTGCTGGCACATGCCAGAAATTCCAGTGTTCAAAGGCAGGAGGATCATTGTGAGTTCAAAGACAGTTTGTAATACACAGTGAGTTAAAGACTGGTCTGAACTACATGGTGAGACTGTCTCAAAAACAAAAAATAAATAAACAATGTTCATTCCTATTGAATAAGAAAGTATCAGAAGAAGCTCTTGGCTGCTATTCTTACAAACACTATCCTCAACACTATCCTCAGAGTCACTGTTATTGTCAGAATGCTTCAAGAATTATTCAAAATTTATTTATTTATTTATTTATGGTAGCTGGTATCAATCTCATGACCTTACACTTTCCAGGTAGGTACTTATGCTACGAACTGAATCACCAGCCAGAGTTCCTCAGTATTTAATTCTTCCCATTGAAATCTTAGAATTTATGTACCCTGCTTTGTGTCAGCAGCTATTCTCAAGTCAGTGGTTCAAAGTTGGAAGATGGTTCAGTTATAATACATTTCCCTTATTTTCATTGTTTTTGCTTGCTGTGTGCTACCTTTTTCCAGCAAAATCTAAAGGGAGCAGGTTACATAACTCATAATCCTTTATTATACATATAGCAGGTCATCCTCATAGGTTGATGCAAAATTTCTCATCAGGTTTACTTTATTTTAAGTTTTGTAACATTCATTTCCACTTCTCACTCTTTCTGAAAACCAGCTGTATTCTAATCAGCATACTAAACTCTTAATAGTCCAGAGTTCTCACTACTTGTGATCTTCTTATTGTTACCCATAACTTTAATATAATCTAGTTTGCACTCTCCTTGAATTAGAACATTTGACACTGCTCTCTTTACTGCACAATCCTGGCTATGTTTAAGTCAAGTTTGGCCTCAAGATTTTTCAAACCATGCTAGGTAAGTCTTAATAAAGAAACAAACACACATTTACTCTGAAATTTTTAATACTTATTGTCAAATGTAAATGAAAAATCTGGCATTAAAGCAGGAAGAATATAAGAGATTTCAACAGTATAATGACAAATGTACAAGTGCATAGATAAAATTACAACAAATGGAGAATATGTACTGTTTTCCTATAAGGCTAATTTTCCAAAAACTAAGCTCTTGCTTGAAAATAATCAGCACTGAAAACTAGAGATCAGGAACACCATCCCCAGTCAGTCTATCCTGGCTTAAAGAAGGAAAAACTAGGGTCATCTGAATGCAAATGAGCGCATATTGAGACCACAGTGCTAAGGGAAATAAAGGATATCTATGTTTCTATGAAATGAGAATCACAAAATATAGTGAAAGACCAAAATAAAAGATTGTAGGAAACAGGGAGGAAGACTTTATTGATGTAGGAAGGGAACCTGGGAAAAATGATAGATAGGAAGACGGGGAGGTTGACAGGAGAAAAGCATGATTGTGTGATATGTATATGTACTAATTCCCCAAGATGAATGTAATTATCAGTTATTACAAACTTATAAAAGTGAAAAGAAGTTAGAAAATGAAAAAAGGAGAAGGAGAGAAAGGGAAAGAGAAAAAGGCAGGAAGAAGACAACACTATTAGATCTTGGAAAAATCCTGCCAAAAAGATAAATTT